ATTTTTAAGCAATGTGATTCATCATAGGATTTTAACAGCTTGGGACTAATCAATTTAATCAAAATATTAATCAGTTGGGATAATATTTTTATTTATGTTGCAAGGTCATTGTGTACACTAATATTTTGAAAAATTATTAATCTGTGATGTTGTTTTTGAAGATAGAATAGCAGTTCTTTTCTTCAATTTGTTTTGTGTATATTGCAATAACTAAAGTGAAAATTAAGAAAATATGATTTAAATCGGATAGAAATAAGTTTGTTATCCACGCATATTTGATGTAAATCACTTTCAGTTACGCTTGTTACTAGTTAATGTCGTGTTTACTTTCACGGCAATAAAAGTAAATAGCACGTAATTTAAAAATTGATGGAAAATTAATTGCTTACTTGCACTAATTTGTTTAAAGATTGTATGTACTAATTTATGTGCTTATTTTTCGGTAATAATCTTTTATAGATCTTAATTCCCAAATTTCCAACAACTGAGAACGGATTTTTTTATTTAAAAAAATTTACTTTTATCAGGCAGTCTAGTTTTGCTAAGAACAGGTAGTAGCAAAGAGACAATCATTTGCATATTGACGGGCCGTGCATTTGTATCGATAATTTGGCATCAATGGTGAAAATGCTCAGATTGTAATTATAGTGGTTTTTACTTGGTTTTTGGGATTTAAGTTGCAATTGATCTGTTTCGTTTATAATTGTGAACTTACAAATTTACAGGTTATAAACACTATGTCATCTGGAGTTCTAGTCAATGCGGAGTGTCAAACTGTATTTCAGCAACTTTCGGAAGGAAAGCACCACAAATTACGCTACATTATATACAAAATTGAAGATAAAGAAGTTGTAGTAGAAACAACGGTATCACCAAATGAAGTAGGTTTCAAATATTAGCTCTTTTGTACTACTTTTATTACAATGAACCTACAAGCTAGGTGCGCATTTTTAAAGGAAAGTTTGATATTTTTTAATGTAATTAATTTTAGATTCATAATTTTTATCCACTTATTAAATAATAAGCAACAATTATGGTTCACAATTACGTAATATTTAGTTTTATCATTAATGGTTTATCAGTCAAACTATCACAATTATTGTAGTCGCAAAGTTTTTATGTTTAGCTCGGTGTGACAGATGACGATCATGATGAGAATTCAAAGACAGCGTATGAAGCGTTTGTAAAAGATTTGAGAGAACGAACGAATGGTTTTACTGATTGTCGTTACGCTGTTTTTGATTTTAAATTTTCTTGCAACAGACCTGGTGCAGGCACATCTAAAATGGATAAAATTGTTTTCATACAGGTTGCTTACATTTTTAGCTTTGTTTAATCTCTCAATAAACTACTGCAAGAAATACTATGTGTTATTAAAGTCTGGTGTCGGAAATTTTTTTCAATATGTTTCGTGATGCGTAAACCACAATTTCACTAAACCGTAATTAATTTGCAGCTGTGTCCTGACGGCGCACCGATTAAGAAAAAGATGGTTTACGCTTCATCTGCTTCAGCAATCAAATCTTCATTAGGCACTGCCAAAATTTTGCAGTTTCAGGTTAAAATGGTTCTATTTTTCTCGTCTGTGTAGTTATTTAATTTGTTGACTGTAATGAGGATCAAAAACTGTGTATTATTAGGTAAAGTAAAATTACGAGATAATTGCTGGAAATATATTGTTGTGTACATTAGAATTTTTACTGTTCATGTTTGTGCTGGTTTGATTTTAGTTTTAATTGTAGAAATCAATTTTTCAAGGTATCAGATGATTCTGAAATCGCTCACAAGGAGCTTTTGTCAAAACTGAGCGAAAAATATCGTGATAACTGATGGATTTCTTGCACCAGTAATCATCAAATGAAGTGGAGGAATTGATTGCGCTGAACAATAGCCTTGTTTTTAATTAATTTATTTTAATCGTTATTGATGGTCGAAAAACTCTAATGGTTTATAAAGTATTTCAATATAAATAGACAGACTTTTAAACAATTAGGAATGTCACGCTCCAAATTAAAAGTTTTGGAACTTGATATATAATGCTAGTCTTCTGAAGTTATGCGTGTTTTTCAGCTTTCACAGCATGTCTTTTATTTCGTTTTATAACCACCTAATAATGTTGTCAAAGTGGATATTTACTACTATTGCATAAGTCATCAAAATTCTTCAAAAGGCTGAAAAGCAACGGGTAAATTATTAGGAAAATAAGTGAACACGAGAATTATTAATAGTAACGAGCATAAATTCAACCAATAAATCGAACCATTATTAGCGATTCTGTGATTGGTTGGCAAATATTTTAATAAATCTGACATGCATCATAGTGAAACATCTATGAATTGTTGTCGGCATCTTGAAATATACTTCTATGCACATTTGAAGAATTTGTCTAGAAGATGTTTATTAAGTCTGCGTTTTCCTTTTTACATGATATCTTTAGTATCTTGTATTCGCTTTATTCAGTTTATCATTCCATGAAGCAACATTCTTTTATGTCACTGTCATTTGCACTTATCACTGCGTTCATCTCATCCATTTTGTTTTTCTGTGCTCAAATACATCACTGTGTTTGAAGGCGCATTATTTGTTGTGTTGGATGTGTTCACATGAGACAAGCACTTACCACTTACTGCTTAGATATGTCTTATTTTTATTGAGAGTAAAATTATTTTCAGTTACCAAGGTGTACTTTAAAATGTGATTCATTTTGATAATAATGAAGTTTGTATTGAAGCAGAGTTAACTGCAAATAGTTGCATCTGTTTTAAAGCTGTTTCAATTTCTTTCAGCCGAATGATTATCGGTTTACATGCTTATCGTTGAGTTATTATTCATCAGAATTTTAAAGTACGAATCAGGATTCATTCTTTATAGGCTTGATTTGTTCTAATATAAGTCATTTTGTAAACTATGATTAGATGAATTACACCAGGAAGGCAGGATGTGAGTTAGTTTTCACTAGTAGTTATAATGAAAGAATTATAAGCAGTATTATTGCAGTTCTACATGGATGTTTTCGAAATATTTTTGAGAATGATGGACTGGGTACAATTTTGGGTCAGGGTGGTGTGTTAGTTGCCCTGACTACTTAGATTTTGATGTTGGCATTGTATATCATTATATTGTCTAGGATGTTTGCTAGTTTGTTAGTTTAAGTCTAAGAGTATGAAAGTTTCATTGAATGGTCAGTGATGTCTTATTGTCAAGTGTATAAGATTTGCTGCACATGAGGGTATGACGTTATCAATCATTTGATGAAACCTGTGTACTGCTCGCTGCGCATCAGTTTTCTTTCAGCATAAATATTGCGATCACTTAAAATTAAAAAAAAAGTGGATTCGTGTTTACATTTTGTTATTGCAGGATTGTTCGAGCATTTTTCAGAGCTAAGTGTTAAAAATGATGAACGCGCCAATAATATTATTAAAAGAAGGTACAGAAGCAAAATTTGGAAAGCAACAGATTTTGAGTAATATCAGTGCCTGCAATGTGGTTGCGGATAGTATCCGTACTACATTAGGACCTCGTGGAATGGATAAACTTGTTGTCGATTCTAAAGGCATGCTTCTTTATTAATTAATTTGTTGCATGTAGTATATGATAAACTGAGATTTTTATTTTACAGTATTTATCAATACTATGGAAAATAGTGTCATAATTAACTTATTAATGACTTCCTCATTCAGTTCTTAAAGAAGTAGATCTGTTAAATGTTTTAATAATTCTAAATAGTGTGAATAATGTTCATAAATGCTTACACTTTATTATTCATTTCTTTAAGTATTGCGAAGTGATAACTGAAGCAGATTCAGTGTTTGAATCACTTTGTAAACATGCTTTTAAAAAATATGTGGTCATTGTCATGTGTTAAATTTTTTCATTATAATAAAATGTGATTTTGTTATTTCACATTTTTTTATATAATGTACTTCAGGTAAAACTACAGTGTCGAATGATGGTGCAACTATTTTGAAAGTACTAGATGTGGTTTTTCCTGCAGCTCAAGTCATGGTTGATATTGCAAAAAGTCAAGATGCCGAAGTCGGTGATGGTACTACTTCAGGTTACTACTACTTGTGCATTGAAGCGAATTGTGCATTGTAGTTAAATCAAGAGAATTTTTTGTGTGAAGACTTTTTTGCATATCTCTTTCAACTGGAACTTAATTTGATCCAGTTAATCTAGATGTTACTGTAGTTGTCATCTTTTATTTCAGTTGTCATATTAGCAGCAGAACTTTTGAAACGTTCGAAACCTTTCATCGAAGATGGTGTCAGCCCTCAACTTATAATTCGAGCGTATTCAAAGGCTTGTGAAGAAGCATGTTCTAATTACTTTTTTTCAATTCCTTTTGTTAAAAAAGAACTGACCATAGTAGCAATTCAATAGTGGGATTAATTAAATCTCAGCAGAAACATGGTGTCTGCTGAGTTGTTTGTGACTTTTCTCTCACATGTTGCGTCATTAAGCTTTTTTATACAAATGCAAGGAGGGATTAAAATCGTGGTGTTCACTTGTTTTATCCGCTGTATATTAGAGAAGTGAAATAAATTTTTCAAAGTTATGTACAATTTTTACAGTAGAACAAATTATTGGAAACACCAATTTTTCAGGCCATTAATCGACTTAAAGAAATTGCAATAAAAATTGAAGGTGACGAGAACATGAACGCAATGTTAATGCGATGTGCAAGGACGTGCCTCAGTAGCAAACTGGTATGTTTTATTTATGTACCAAGATGTTCTATTTTATTCTTTTTTTTTGTCATTTAGGTATTGTGCGGACAATTTTTAGATTGCAAATGTAGATGTTAGTTGGATCGAAAACAGAGAACCTTGTAGCATTTCTTCTTAGAAGTAATTCTTATTAGTTACTATGAGTATCAATATAAAATTTTGTTAGCAGAAAGCATTTTTCTGATTCTTAATTATGCTATATGTGGAGAAATATAATCTATTTAGATGCAAGGGCTATTTCTGTGTATCTAATTTTTGGTTAAAATTGAAGGTCAGCCGAGAACGAGAGTTTTTTGCTCAAATGGCTGTTGGTGCTGTTTCATACTTGGACGATAGTCTGCCATTAAAAATGATTGGAATCAAGAAAGTCAGCGGTGGATCTCTTACGGTATATATATTTATATCTAAATTTTTTGCCTGAGATTTTTACTTTTCGTCTACATTTAATTTTCAGGATTCTGAACTTGTAAAAGGTGTGGCCTTCAAAAAAGCATTTAGTTATGCAGGCTTTGAGATGCAACCAAAAAGTTATAAGAATCCACTGATTGCTTTGCTTAATGTAGAATTGGAACTCAAGGCAGAAAAAGATAATGCAGAAATGAGAATTCAGAGTGTGGAGGAATATCAAAAGGTCTTATGTTTCTTGGTTTTTCTTAAACTTTTTTTTTCACTAAAAAACTTCTTTCACATTTCCGAGGTCATGCAAAAATTCATTTTTTAGAGGTATAGCTTCTGTGTTTAATTTTACCTAAAAATTTAGATTGTTGATGCTGAATGGACAATTTTATACGACAAATTGAAACAAATTCATAGTTCTGGGGCGAAAGTAGTACTTTCGAAACTCCCGATTGGAGATGTTGCTACTCAGTGGTTTGCTGATAGGTTAGCCATAACAAACTTTATGTTGTTAAAAGCTTTATTTTGCTGACTTGAGAACTTGAGCTCATAATTTTTTCACGAAACGGAAAGTATAAAGATTTTCATGCTAAACATTCACTCACAGTCTTCTGCTCTTTTGCAGCAATTCTGAAGTCTAATTTTAATTAATTTGTTTGTTGATCTTCATGTCTTTGGAAATCTTAGAGATATGTTTTGCGCTGGACGTGTTGAGCAGTCTGATATGGATAGATTAGTAGCAGCATGTGGTGGCACTGTTCTTACAACAGTAAGTCACATCACTGAAAAAGTTCTTGGAAGTTGCGCGGAATTCTACGAAAAGCAAGTGGGAAGCGAACGGTAATGTTTTATTCTCGTATACTGTACGTTAAATGATCTGCATTTTGTTTTTAGTAAAATCATATATGAGTAGTTCATATTTTACCCATTAAGATGATTTTAAATTTCTTTTATGATGCTTTATTATTCGTATTGTAATTTCATGTTATTCTTCTTACATTTCAGATATCATAGTACTTTTTCATATTTCAGTTTTAACTTCTTTTTGGGTTGTACGAAAGCACAGTCTTGTACTGTTATTTTACGCGGTACTGCTGAACAATTTATCGCAGAAACAGAACGTTCTCTACATGATGCAATCATGATTGTGCGGCGTGCAATAAAAAATGATACTATTGTTGCAGGTTTTTCACATCTTTCTTCACATTACTTTTTTGTCTTATTTGATTTATCGCCACTGAACACTGCGATGTCGAATCCATTTCTGTATTATAGTTCTTTCACTAACTGCCTATTGGTGTATTTTTAAGAATACTCATTTTTATTATTTATGGTGATACTGACAGCATCTTAATTCAAGTTTAACTGTTAATTTGATGGGTATTACGTAAAGCATCAGGAATAAACATGTATACTAAATACTAGTTTTTACCTGTAATTATTGCCTGCATCATTTGTAGTTAACTTAATTTTACTATTGGACTCAAGATATTAATTTTATTTCTATGTGGTTACAGGTGGCGGTGCTATAGAAATGGAGCTCTCGCGGCATCTGCGCGAAATCTCTAAAACTATTGCAGGCAAAGAACAATTCTTTTGGCAAGCGTTTGCCAGAACTTTGGAGGTTTCATTTTTTGCTTTATTTCCGTAACAAGAGCATAGTAATGGGATAGATAGACTTTTGTAGAGCACAAAATTGATATTTAATCAAAATTGTTACTAGTACTTCCATTATTTGCATCTTTTAAATTCATATTTTTTTCAAAGCTTATCATATATTTTGATGTGATGAATATTTGTGTTATGGAAAAACTAAAAGTGATGGTATCTGCAATCTTTTTCATTAAAAATCTATTAAAGATTTATAATAAAAATTTTCTTAGCTTGTTAGTTTGCACGTTATAGGTAATTCCAAAGCAGCTCTGCTATAATGCAGGCTTAGACGCAACAGACATATTAAATAGACTGCGGCATCGTCATGCAAAAGGAGATAAATGGGTTGGTGTTGACATATTTGCGGAAGATGTCAGTGACAACATGGAAGCTTGCGTGTGGGAACCAGCTCTTGTGAAAATAGTTAGTTTTCTTTTTAATGCCTTAGCACATATGTAGTACTTGGATCTTTATCGTTAAGGTGTGAAGTAATTGGTTTATTTGTAGTTTTCGTACACACCAATGCGCTAATTAATTCATTTCAGAATGCTTTGACTGCAGCAACAGAAGCAACATGTCTCATTTTAAGCATTGATCAGACTGTAAAAAGTCCTCGAGCTGCCAGTGGTGGCCAGTTACCTGATATGTGAAAGATTTTTTGTCTAAGATTATTTTTTAAATATCAAATTCGCTTTGTCAATTAAATTTGTGCTTGAGATCTTTTTTCGTTTTGCCAATATATTTTTCCCTTTTTCTGTCTTCATTGCTGTTTGTGATAGGTAACTGTCAAAAATCAAACTGATCTTGTTGGATGGCTTTTGTTGAGTTGTGATGAATAAAATAATGATTATTAATATTAAAAGTTGTGTTACAGATTGATCAGAAGAGTTTTTCAAAATGAAAGGAAAAAAAGCAATCTGAACTCTCTCATTCTTTTTTTTATCATCTGAAGAAACAAGAAATAGAGAGTTCAGATTACAGAAGCACCATCTGTGCTTATAATATTTGAGAAGTTTGATTAATGAGGTAGTGAGAACAAGTAAACTAATACGAGGAAAGGAAGTGATGGCTTTAGAGTTTTGGTAGGACTTAATTGCTAACAGAAGTGAAGAGGTAGTCAGCTGGCAATCATAAACTAACAGCAATAAACATTTGTGGTTAGTACTAGGAAAGTTGCAAATATAGCCTGAGGGTTGGAAATAATGCGATTTATCATAGCGAGGAGGGCAGTGATTAGTGCATTAATGATAAGACGTAGTGATGGAGAAAATATTATTGTTGTGGTAGTGCTATTACAATTGTGAATATTTTAACGCGGTTGAGTTCATCTGATGGTAATAATGGCAATGTTGAATGTGAAGTCACGAGAAGTCAGACATTTTTCACTATTAAGAATGAGTAATTACTAGTTTTTGTTAACTTTTATGATGTTTTTCATATTATTATTTGTTTATTTATGCATTATTATTTATTATTATTATTATTTTTGATTTTGAGGTGAATTAAGTGATTTCATATTTCTATAATAGTTATGTTTATTTACAGTTATCAGTACTGCAATTTTTGATTATTTGTTTTATGAATCAAAAGTTTACATTTTCAATGTTATTATATTATTTATTTTTAAAATAAGTTTTGCTTTAATTTTGATGAAAAATTTTGATCATTTTTCTAGTCTTACTTATTAACACGTAAAAATTTGCGTAATTTGTTGAATAAAGATGTGGTATTTTAGTATTTTAGTTATGATGTAAGTAATGCGTTACTGAAGGAACTATAAATCACTTATATTATTGCACCTGGATTATAATTTATTCATTATTAAATGTTAGTAATCAGATTAGTTGTGATATTTACACAAATTAGTTATGTCTATGAGTTATGTCTGGAAAAGCTTTTTTTACACTGCACTGTTTTTAAAATTTTTAGTAATTATTTCATTATATGTCTTTACATAAAATTTTATTTTAATTTAATTTACTCTAGACTATATGATTCAGATACCTTTTACTTTATTGATTGATCAAGGAAAAATAAAACCCAAATTTGAGATGATATCAAATCAAGATCATGAAGAAAGATTTGTACATCAAGAAGATTCGGAAGATCAGAAGATCAAGAAAAGCGATGATTATCAAAAGCAATTATTGCAAGAAAATCTTGAAAATAATCAACTGATCAGTGAATATAGTCACACAAACGAAACTGAACAAGGTAGATATAATCCGAACAGTATCGACCGCTTTCAGGAAATTCAGAATAGTCCGCGGGAAAAATTTCTCTTTGTAATATGCTCTAATGTGGATCAACTAAAACCGGATATGATCGCCACTGTTGATGTTGATCCAGAGAGTTCAACTTACTGTGAGGTACAGTCAAAATTCCAGCATATTTTGATTTATTTTTTATTTTGTTTATGCTTGTTTTGATAGATAACTACCTGATAAATAACCATTTACGTAGTATTACCATATCATTAAAATCGGATTTAATGCAAAACATCTGCTGTCAACATCAAATTATTACTAAACATAATTTATGAACCTAGACATAAAAGTAAAATTATGTAGAGTTATGATTTAAAAAGTAAATATTGAAGTAATAATAATATTATCATTACTATTTAAATTATATTTATAAATTCAAGCAGTATTTTTTATTAGTTTTTATTGTAAGTGTATAAATGAACAAATAACTAATACAGATATGAATATTAATGACATAAAAGCAGATTAATTACTTAAAATATTTAAAAAATATAAGCTCTGTTAATTTCAAACAACATCATTTTGACAAGTTAAGGGAAAATGAAATTACTGATCACAGTATTAATTTTTGAGATCGGATTGTAGATCATAGCAATGATCTGTGTAATTCAAAAGTTATGCACGTTTAAATTTTAAAATGAATAACTTTTTGTTTTTCCTTTTATGAAAATTTTTTGCATTTTATTTAATATTAAAATTGTTAAGAAAAAGTTGTTGATAAATTGGTTTTATAGATTTAAAAATACAATTTGACTACAAATTAAATTACTCTGCAACTTTTCATGAATATAGTTTGAGTATTATATATCTTGTAGGTAATCAGTCGAGTTGATTTTCCAAATATTGGAGATGAAGTTCATTATTCTGGTTGGAATACATATTTGCATAAAAATAATGAAGATTGCATGCTTAAGTCATATTTAACGCTTCCATGTATGAATACATCTAGAATTTATATCGTCGATGTCACAGATCCTAAAAACTTAACACTTTTAAAAGTAATTTTTTTGTTTACTTTGAATGATTGATAATTGATTAGTAAAAAAAAATTCTAAATTATTTTTGATATCCAAAAAATACTCCAAATCTATAAAAGATTTATAATTAAGTTATTTTCATAATTTTGGTTTATTTCGATTTGTGAAGAATCATTTTGAAAAGTCACAAAAACATTTTTAACTTATCTAAGTAATGGTATTTTTATTTGTTACCCTATTGTATATCAAGATAATCAATTTAATGTACTCAATTAATCTTATTTTTGAAAATCCTGTGATAGATTCCATTTCTTTGATAATAATTTCCATTTTGATTTTGCCAAATTTAATTTTGATCTCTTATTTCTTTTTTTAAATTTGCATTTGCATTATATTTTCAAATTTTCTTTGCAGTTTTCAAGAAAATTTTCGCAGATCTTTATAAAACTTGCGTGATATATTATTATTATTGTTATTATTATTATTATTGTTTTTACTATAGATAACACGACTTCTGTTGTAAATTAAAAGTGGACAATGTATTACAAAAAACTGCAAAAACTTACTAGAAGCTGACAATTTAAAAAAAACAAAAAAAATCTAGGCGATTGAACCTGAGGTACTTTTTCGCTACAATGTGAGCTTTCCTCATGCATCCCACTGCTTACCTGATGGTTCAGTAATGATTAGCATGCTTACTTCTACCGATGGCTCAAAACAAAGTAATGTTTAGAATTTATTTTGGTAAATTTTTATAAGCAAGTTTTTTTAACCCGTAAAATTTTTTGAATTTATATTTTGAGAAATTAATTTGCATTTCAGGCGATTTTTTTCTTTTGGATGGCAAAAATTTTGAGCCCATAGGTACTTGGATATCTGAAGGCACCAAAAAACCATCATGTAATGGTGATTTTTGGTATCAGGTGAAAAATAATATTATGATCAGTACTGAATTGGCTTCACCAAACAAATTTAAAAAAGGCTTTAATTTGAAAAAGCTTTCAAAAGGTTTAATTTTGTTCATTTGCAGATGATTATTTATTTTTTTACGATTACAAGTATTAATTTGCAAAAAATCTTTTTAGAAGTGCTGAATTGCATAACTTTGATTGTATTATCAAAAGTTGACAGTTTATGAAAAAAAACAATATAAATTTTTTGTACATGAAAGTTTTTTAATGGAAAAAATTAATTAGTAAAAATTAGTTAATTGAGATAAGATGATTTAGTTGGAATTTAATTAGTTACGTGATACTATGTTATAGCACAACAAGGAACTCATTTGAATATTTGGAATTGGAAAGAGCGTCAATTACTACAGCAAGTCAAACTGAAACAACCGGAAGGATTAATGCCATATAAAGTACGCTTCTTGCACGACTCTAAAACGTGTCAAGGTTACGTAATAACAGCTCTTGGATCATCACTTTATCATTTTTACAAAACAAGGGTTAGATTTACATCAGAATAAAGCATTCTGCATGCGTTTATTAATTATCCATGTGATATTGAATCATACTTATCAGTAATATATTTACATCTGAATTTGTTCAGTCCTTAAAATTTATTCTTGCACAAAAATTTTATAAAATAAGCACTGAAAGTTTTTTGCCACAATTGATTTTCTCAAACAGGATAAAAGTAAGTTGGAGATCAAACAGATATTAAATGTTCCTTCAAAAACAGTGCGCAAATGGTTATATCCAAAAATGCCAGCTTTTTTTACCGATATGATCATATCACTTGATGATAAATTTTTGTACATATCAGCTTGGTTGCATGGAGAAGTACGTCAATATAATATCAGTAATCCCGCTCATCCAACAATGGTTAGTAAGGTAAATGATATCTTAATTTGCTTCAAAAGTAATCAATCATAAGCAAAATTCAAACTCCGGAATTTAGAAAAAATACTGAATTTAAATTTTTTTAACTTAAAGCTATATTTTAAAATTAAAAAAATTCGAATATGAATTTTTTATTCTAAAATTATTGAGCTGTTTTGTTTGCAAACATTCATAGATTTTGATATATTTTCAAAATGTAGCAGAATTTTAATTGCATATTTTATTTTATTTTTCAATATATTTTGAACATTTTTGTGTAAATGCAGTAGTACATTCGTGTAGTTTCAGATTAGCGTTGGAGGACTGTTACACACGGAATCGCCAGTTGTCTTCAAAACAATGACAGAATTGAAAGTTAGATTATAACTTATTGAAAAAAATTGGACACTGATAACTATAATAAACATTTTGAATAATTTCATTTCAAAAACTAACAAAACCAAACAATTTTTAATTGTTATTAATAGAAAGTTGTAATATTTTATGTAAAAAGGAGTTCAAATACTAAAAATTCTATTCATTCAAAATTTTTTTCTAGCGGCGACCACCTGCAACCTACGTGAAAAACAAGCGTATTGAAGGTGGTGCACAAACGCTGCAATTAAGTTTAGATGGAAAACGGCTTTACGTAAATACATCATTATATACTACATGGGATCTTCAAATACAACCTGCAACAAGGTTCCTTTGAGTTTTACACGTTTTGCTTCTAAATGCAAATTTATTACTTATTTTTTGGTAACAAAAAGATTCAATGAAAATTAGACTGCATTGATATTTTCTTTTGTCCTAATCTGTATAAGGAATCTGCAAAATTTTTTAGCATTTTTGTAAGAAAATTTTTTGCGTACAAAATTATAGGAATGGTACGCAAATGGTGATGATAGATGTAAATACTGATAGTGGAGGATTATTCATTAACCCAGACTTTCTGGTAGATTTTGGTACTCTTCGAGGTGGGCCATACCTTGGAAGGGATATGAGGTATCCAGGAGGTGATTGCACTTCAATTATCCATTCATCCCGATAATTTCCTTATTATTGCTTTTTTTGCTATGTAAATTAATTTCAGTATCTAACGCATACATTTAAAATTAATTAATGCCGTGATGATGTAAATAGATTTATTTGTATATTAGCAGACAATTTTTATTATGATCATTTACTGTACTGTAAATTTGTATATTAATTTGATTAGTAAATTACGATCAGTAAACGATTTTCGCTCTCCTAAAATATTAATATTGTTGTATTTCTTTTTTTGCAAATACTTTGTAAAAGTCTCGCTTGCTTCTCTTATTTATCAATTCGCTCTGCACTGATTCTGAAAAATTTGAATTATGCTGATGTGTGGAACTACTTTTTAATTTACAAAAATTGAAAATAAATAATTTTTATGAATTTACCTGCGCGAACGTCTAACAGGTATAGCTTGAGGTATGTGCGATATAACTTTTTTGTTTACGTTACGCCTTTTATTCTTGTGACTTATTCGAGTTGACCTTAATTTTCTTCGACTATTATAAGCGGTCGTTCTACGAGTAGATCGTTTGATACTTTCAGATCGCCTATGTTTTGTTGGTGATTGTTTTCGTACGCTTCTGCGTTGAATTGGTTCTGGAAGTGTCCATAAAATAGTTGTTGGCTTGTGATCATCGTCATAACTCATATCCCTATTTTCGTCTCTATCCTTATCATCATCATTATCATATGATTCGTAATCATAGAACCTTAAAATTTACAAAAATTAGAATTATGTCCTCACAATATTTTGTTAATATTTTACAAATTAATGCAATATTTTGTTGGCCACATTGAAATTACTTGAAATTTAATAGTTTCTTGCAATATTGAAATTTTAAAATAAACTTTGACAGACGGATAGGAACATTTGTATGATGCAAAAAATCTGTGCTTTTTTGAAACTTGTCATGGTCATTTTCTACATAGTCATCATCCTCATCGTTTTCAGATTCTTCGTCGAATGGAACATTTTTCTGAAGATTCCTTTGAATCAAATTATTAGAATGGATTTAGAATAATTGCTTCAAACTACAATAAAACATACTATTTGATATCTACGTGCACCACTTAATCTGCCATATCTGTTATCCGGATAGAATCGTTTACGTCGAGGACTACGTCGCAAAGTTGATATAAAATTAGAATCTGTATCTAAATATTCCGCAAGTGAAATACGTTCTGGTCTTAAAAAACTAGAGGTATTCCTTGTTGATGGACCACTTCGCGTTTTTCTAGAACGTCTGATATTCAACATTACTTTGACTTTGAGTCAGTAAAGCTTCGGTAAAATGAACCGCTCAGATGTTAGTAGTTGATAAGCTATAATATTTATTTCAAATGTCAGAATTTATAACTATAAAAAATTTAAGATGCAAATTTGATTTCATATTCAATTTCTAATGAATATCCTCTTGGTAAAATTCAATACTTGAGTCTATTAGATTTTGCATAAGTATAAGTAAGAGTTTTGCTCGAAAAAGTAGATATGTGCTCTTCTAAATTTCAGCGTTTGGTTTATGAACTCATTGTATGACCTACTGACCTTCAGTTTGGCAGTACTTTCATTGATTTACATTTATCTAAATAAATGTAATATACTTTTTATACGTAGTACAATAAACAGTTTGCGCACGAAGTTTGAATGCTTACATAGAAATGTAAGTTTTTACTATATAAAATTTTGTATTATTTTTGTAATAAATGCGAGTTTTGTTGCCATGAGATTTTTTGAAATTTGTCATGAACAAATATCACTGTCGTTTAAATCAATTAGATTAAGCATAATTTGAGTTAGCTTTAACTTGACTTAAGTATGAGTTATTTACCTTACATATTACTATAAGTACTGGTATAGTCAAGCGATAAGTTTTAGGCCCTCTCTACGTAAAATGCTTCTTTAAACTTTATAACATCATTCATTTTAATTGTATTCCAAAAAGTGTAAAATTGAAGTTTAGAAATTTTCAAATTTATGCAAAATATTTGTAAATATGCAAATTTCTCTTATTTTTTGCCTTAAATAATGGTTATATATGAATGTCTATCACATTTTTAGATTTATTTAACCATAATTAATTTTTTGTATTCATTCTCTGCGTATACTTTACTCATTGACTTATTATTATCAGTTTATTCTGCAATGAAATGTGATGTAAGTCTTACATTATTTTTATCTAAGTGAATAAAGTATTTATACAAATATATTCATGCAAAATAGATTTTTACATAAAATTCGTTATTTCTAGCAGTACATTTTATCAGAAATGTAATTTTGACCTAAGATCTCTTGTGTTTTGACCTATGGTAAGACTTTCCACTTTTTTTCTGAAATTATTTTTGCATCTATAAAAATTTATTTGGAAAATTTTTTTTTAATAAAAGTTGAAAGATACATTTTTAAATGTTTTTAATAAATTTTTTAACTACAAAACATTTTAATACTTTGTGAAGTAATCACTATTTTAAGACAATCGAAAAAAAAATGAGACCACAACGAAAAGCTGCCGAAGGTTAATTTATTTTTTCATTTTTTATTACAGAAACTAATAATTTTCATTATTAAAAACTCCAAGATTGTTATTTCTATTGCTCGTGTATGAATACTTATTAATGTTTCTAGTCATTTATGACTTACTTTTACAGTATAGAAATTTTCAAAGATATTTTATTAATTATTATAAATCTTCAACTAATTCAAAGTTGCATGCGAAATATGAATATGTTATAATGCTATGCTCAAATAACATGGAAATATTATCAAAAACTATTTTACTAATAAAAATTGGTCTTTTTATGCTAATATTAATCTTTTAATACTCAAATAGTTATTAATATTTGTATTATTATTTAAAAAAATATTTGTATTAATTATAAAAATATTTGTTATTATTATTTGCATTATTTTTTCTTTAAAACAATGCATATTTCAGCAGCACGAGCAGCGATTAAGCTCATAGTCACCAAGACAAAATTAAAGTGGTAAGTGTATTATTATTCAAATAATCTCTAAAAAAATTTTACAAAAATTGAAAGTAATAAAAATAATAACTAAAATTGCTATTTTGTAATGCTTGTAAAATAAACTGTAAAAAGTTGAATCATTTATTATCACTTCTCTATAGACTAAAACAAAAAAATATTAATTAAAAATTGTTTATAGCAATGACTTTAAATCAAAAAAGTCAAAAAAAATGGTCAGTGAAGTTAAAAACAAGCAAAAAAGCATTAAAAAAAACAACAAAATGGAACTTCTAGAAAAGGTGAACAAATTTATTACTATTATTATTATTATTATTATTACTTTATTATTATTTTATTATTTTAAATTTTTTCATAAAATTTTTCTAAGAATTACCTGAATAGTAGGATATTAGTTTAATTTACTTGTCTTTATTAGACTTAATTGTATGCTAATTAGCAAATAACAATTAATTCTAATTTTTGTGCTTTTTTTTTTGAAAGATATTCAAATTAATAATAGTATATGACTTTTGGAAAAAAAGCTTTGATAAAAAATAAAATTTTATCAAATAATGTTGACAACAGTGTTGTTAAATTTTATAAAGTAAACTATTAAAAGATTTTATTATTAATTTAACTTGGAACTTTTGATAATGCTAGTTTTTGCATAAATTGATATCATTATAAATTTGCATTATGAACTTATTATGCAGAAGTTAATACATTTATAGAGTCAGCCATTAAAAGAAATTCAGAAGGATGAAACAGAAGCTGGCAGCATTAATGATTCAGCTTTAAAAATACTCGAAAATAATAGAAATACAGAATCAAGACCAATGGAAATCAGTTATAACATGTCAGATCTGCAGTTGCCAGAGGTTAATGTATTCGTTTTTTTCTTCTCGTCATGGATAGTTCATGCATGATCAGATTTATGAACTGAAAATGTTCAGATTTCAGTGATATGATCTGATGAGTTGAAAATAATATAAATACTATATCTAAATACTTTTAAAATCATGAAATTCTCTAATAGAATTTCATGAAGAAATTTTATGTATTCAAATAATTTGTAAATGGTAAATACTCTTATTCCTTGTAATATTTTAAAATATATTAGCAAAGATAGTATTCAACTGTAAAGATAGTAATATGCGCCCAATTTTTAATTTTGTAAATATTGAACAAGTGTGCGATACTTGGAATATTTTTTATTAATATTTTCATTTTCATATAACTTAAAATATTTCAGAAATTACTGGTAAAAATACCATATGGTGTTATACGGTTTGCTACAAAACAACTCAGAGGTTTTAGCAATTCATCAATGGTTTCGTTTATTGTTTTCAGCGCAGATATTCAACCGGTATGTACCACTTTTATAGAAAGTTTATACGCAAAAATATTTTAAACTCAACTGAAAGGCAAAATTTTATTTTAGTATGCATAAATCATTTTTATATTTCTTTTGAAACTATTAATAGTATGTTTATTTTTAAGATTATTATAATAATTATGAATTTGGTAAGCTTTTTTGTGTTACAAAAGCATTAATATTTAATAAATAGTATGTTTATTTTTAAGATTATTATAATAATTATCAATTTAGTAAGCTTTTTTGTGTTACAAAAGCATTAATATTTAATAATTGATTACTGTATTTTAGTGGAAATTTGAAGACAACCAACACATAGCAAAAAATTGAAAGAATATTTTAGAAATGAAGATTTGTTATGTGATAACTGATAATGATAACAAAACAATAGCTAAACAGCTAAACAACTAAGAGTATACTATCCGTGAATTAAAAATTTGTAAATATTTTTGTCAAACTTTTGTAATCGAATAAATAATTTGTAAGGAATGCGAATTGTAACAAAGAATTAAAATTTATGTTTTCAATTAGCTATAGTTCCTTTGATAAATTATATTATCAACCGACATTGGTATTTCAGATTTTAGCAAAAATAAAAATCTCTTAGAAATTTTTAAAGATAATTGATTGAGCTAAAAATGATCGATAATACTACCCCGTGATGTATGCAATATTTTGAAGTGAAGGATTCTGAAAAATTTGCGTTGACCATGGTTTTATGTTGAATTCATATCTGTATATGGTCACAGTTACAGACGTTTATTTGTAAATTTTGGATTGTAAAAGGATTTAATAAAAAATTTATTGATTCAAAATGTTGAGTAAAAGCAATACAATGCGCGAAATTGCAGTGTACAGCATAGGCGCAACAATAAATGCGCGAATATGCAAATTGGTATTTGCAGGTTAAATTGTATGAAAATGATAACAAAGACAAGTACTAATATTTTATGCAAATTTTCAAGATATTGAAAAGTTTAAAAAATTACAAATTGCAGTTAAAATAAAAGTTTTACTTCAGGAAGCGAAGTATGCCTAAATGACAACATTTCGGTTTTTGATGAGTGGATCTAAGTAATACTTAAAATATAGTCATCTGTTGATAACAATTTAAATAAGTAACTACTTTATTTTATTAAAAATTTTTTAATAATTAAAAATGGTACTGAAATAAATAATAAAAAAAGAAATAGTACTAAATAATGCGTAAAAATAAAAATTTGGAGGATTGTATAATTAGACCCGATAAGTTAAAATTAAAATTTTGCATAAAAACAATGACTGTTTTAAAATCCAGGGATAATACAGTATGATTCAAGAGCAGATAGTCCGAGGTAAGTACACCAAAGTAATACGAATAATCCCGATGTTGCAATCTGAAATTATTGAATAAAGCCAATTAAAATTTAAACTTTGATTATCGTATTTTTTAAATTTCTTTATTTTATTTGCAGCTGAACTGTAATTTTAATGACATACTATCACTATAATGAGTATATCCAAAGATAATAATTAAATGCAGCAATAATGATGACTAGTAATTTTTGTAATATTAATTAATAATTGTTACTATTATTATTAATAGATTGTTATTAATATTGTTGTTAATAGATTTTTATTAATATTTTTTCGAAAAGGACTAATATTGAATTAATATTAATATTACTACTAAACATTTTTTGTGAAAACGACTACTTAATTTTGTAAGATTGATTCCTCAAAGCATTTCATGACTTAATTTTTTCATTGCCTACAGTCATTACTTGTGCTCTAATTTCACAGCTTCCGTGTAGCAACGTAATATTTAATTAGTAGTTCACATATTATTTGAATTTGATGTCTGCAATGTTTATAGTATGCAAATAAATTACATTCAACAATTACATATGATCTTAATGTTGAACTGTCATCAATATTCTAACCTTAATTGACATTATGACGTTTACAGTAATTACTTAAAAAATTGTTTAATTTATTTCAAGAAATCATAATATTTTGTTAAAAATAATTTTTGTACTAATACAACGTGAATTGATTAAGACTAATCAGTTTTTTAACCTTATATTTCAAAGGTCCACCAAGTTCACCTCCAATTGGTGGGCGCCGTCTTAGAATAATCACAGCAATGCAAATTAATGCTTCAAGGCAAAATATAGTAACGGAAAATGCAAGAGTTCCAGGTTCTACGTAAAACTTATCCCCATGCCACCAGTGATAAATAGCCGCTATAGTCCATGCTATTCCTAAATAAATTAGCAAACAATTTGTTATAATTCATTAATTAAATTGGAAATTTGACGTGCATCTTACGTACCTATAGAAGTAGCCTTTGTAATTACTAGTCTAGTCACAATAGGCAAGGTCAAAGTTAAATTTTAATAAAATTCATTAACGTCATAATAAAAACCTATTCCGAGGAATACATTTACACCATTGGAACCAGTCACATTACCAATGGAAGAATCTGCGTATTTATCCTGAATTGCAGCTACTTTTGATGCGAATGTATCTCAAATTATATTAATATAATTAGAAATTCCTGACATTATCGATAGTAGTAAAAAAATGTCTAAAAATATATGATTTCTTGACCATTTTTCCGAAATTGCCTGATAAAGATTAAATCATTTTATATGTTAGCAGAATATATGCATAATGCAACTAAATTGTTTTCATTAAGTTCTGTGATCAAAAATGCAAATTTGTTTGTGCCAAATTCATTGTTTAGATTAACTACTTAAGAATTATCCAGAATATATATATATATAT